TTGAAACCGCTTCTGAACAATTTTTGCCTCCTCTGCAGAAGCTGGGTTCGATTGGAAAAAACATCATTCTCCCCTCAAAGTGGCTAGATACCTTAGTAACAGATGATGCACAAAGATGTCCCTCAGGTTGGTCTGGCATCGAGTTGTGTTCCTTTTTGAAGAGGCAGTGGTCGTGAGCGACCGGTACTTGAGACCTCTGACTAGACCGCGACAGGAATTGGTTGCTACTTGAAGAATATTCCTCTCTCTTTCTTTGGCAGCCTTAAGACCTCATGCGAGTATCCCCAAATTTTGGAGATTGTAGCTCCGCTCCATGAGAGGAATTTTGTCGCCGATGAAAACGGTGCCCTCGTAATCACCATTTTCGGCCCTCGACACCAGCTCTTTGGACTTTTTGTATCTGCGGCGCTTCCCTGGTTCGATAGAGCAGTGGCGCTTGTGCAGCCTATAATGCTGTGTAAGCAGTTGTTGCTTGACCACTCTTCACATGATTGTGCTCAAACACTTCAGCGTTCTGGTCGGCTTTCTCAAGCGAACTTCGATATGGTAGTCGATCCGCTTCTTCATGCTTTACCTGTAATCCAAGATAGCAGAACATAAGGGGCGGCCGCATTGGAACCTACATTTATGATTCTTCTCTTCGGTGCGTGATAGGTCGCGGAGCGGTTAAGATTACAAAGATGTACGATATTTATTACCGTTCGTCGGACCTAGCTGCGCGAAGGATTTGGCACTCTGTTGAGGTTTATGCGCGCGATGAGATGTAAGTAGAACGGTAAGGCGTGCAATTTGGCGTGGTAAATCACAAGAGGTTAGAGGATTAAAATGTCTACCAATCTCGGATGGAAAACTATAAACGCCCACAGAATTGAAGTTCAAAATGTGGTGCAATATTTATGGGACACCCTGTATATTCAAGATTGACGCAGCTTTGAGACTTACTACGCCTTCTCGATTATACCGTAATCAAAAACAGAAGCAAGGAGGTAGAGTTCTAACTTAATAAGCTTGCGTGGAGTCAGATTTGAGAGCCATTAAGCCTGGTGGCAGAAGTGCAGTCTTTCTAGGGCCAATAGCCGCGAAGAGTGTATTGGTGAAATTTCGCTCAGGCTTGGAAACTCTCACCCTTTGGGGCCGTGCTATGCCTCCACGAAGCTAGAGCGCGGGTGCATCCAAAGTTCCTTTCAGATTTACTTTGTTTTAAACGTGTAGTTTTCTTCATTTGTCAGTGCATGTTTCATCTTCCTAGCTACCATCGACACCAAATGGAGGCCATGTTATAGGCAATTCCAGATGCGAAGAAAGAAAAATTTCAAGGAATTTCCATCCTCCTCTAACTTTCGGGGGAAGCACAGCACCACGGCATTTGATCTCCAACTCCGTAGTCTGACCTGTTTGAAGATGAAAAAAACGGTCCATGCAGTGGGGGGAAGGGACGCATGCGTTGAGATAGTTTTCGTGTCAGCTTACAGTAATGTGTGATTCTCGCCAATGAAGTGAACTTCTGTGCACGGGGTCATTTCGCTTCCGCCCACCGTGGAACATACTCCTCTTCCAAAGTTGAAATTACTGTAGGTGGCAGAAATTGTTACCCCACGCGCCCGCCTCTCCACTTATTGGAACCAGACAGACACGAGCTTCCCATTATACAGTAACCGTCGAATCAAGATTGAGGGTGACATTTGCAATGGCGATTATCACACACGGGTGCGTTTCAGAAGCTGGCAGAAACGACTTCCTCAGTATGGGTTCCATAAGCTCTACTGTAACCAACCGTCTAAAAGCAAAATGTAAATAAAAATGTTTCGTGCGTTGGAACGCGCAGTGTCACTTGTTATCAACTGCCTTCCGACGTACTCCCTGTCATTTTCACTTGCCCAGAAGGACACGGACAAAACAATAGGAGTCCACTAGTACGAAAGGAAACCATCGCTGTAGAAATTTGGAGGTATTTGTCAATGAGTCGAATACGCAAGGAAGGGCGGCGCAGCGTGACGGCCCTGCTCCCTGTGGTCGCTTAGGTGCGCCTGGTGCACCAACGACGAGGTGTGTAGCTGATGTCAGACTTTGCGAGACGCTTGGTTTGCAAAGTCTGACATGGACCATACGCTGCGGAAACCACGGATAGATACCCCAAGGTAATCACGGAAATAGGTGTTGACCTACACCCGCGTTCCGTATCGTGTTCCGGTTGGATTGCGTGCTCCAATATCCAACGGTGCGCTCTAGTGCAACGTGGATTACGGTGGAACCCATTCACCCACACTGACAAATCGTTCTTGTATAAGGTTACGCTGATTTCCATGTGTACGAAGCTACAAATTCGTGAACTACACTGATGGCACATCTGGCGGCTGGGTTGATGAGGTAAACAATGCACAGTGTGTACAAGATCATTGTGTAATAACTATGGAGAAATTCAAGCAAGTGTAAAGTGAAGTATGTTTACAAAAACACATAAATCTAAAAGACTCCCGCGCAACGATGAGGGTGACATACATCGATAAATGTGTGGAAGGGGGCACAACCATTTAGCACCGCCCAGACTCATGTCCGTAAGTGTTCACTGTTGAAGGCAAAAACAGTTACCACTGTGGAATATGATCGTATTGGAAGGTCGCCTCCATATCGGTCAACCTACCACTGCGTTTTGAAAATGATCCCCCCCGCTATTTACAGGGGAATTTTTAAAATGTTATACGTTTTGTAGGGTTGTAGCGGCGACATTTGGTCGGGTTGGCAAGAATTAGTAGACTTTTTGGGCCCCGACGAAGACGACCCCGCCGAAACGTTAGCCGATAATGCTTCTTTAATAACCTCGTGTTGAGATCACTAGAAGAAAGCAAGAACAGTGATTTTTATCCATCAGCGACCATCACTTCGTTTTTGATCGCAACATTTTCACCATTATTACCACACGGGGGGGGGCGACGGCGATTCTTCACTCGATTGAGCCTAACAGCTTTGGTGCCATTATCTGCAACGTCTCATGGTCAGTGCAATTTTTTTAGCCGTCTGCTATTTTACCTTCCGCCATTTCAAAATGCAAGGTATTCGCTACAAATTGCTTTCATACTTTCATATTACGTAAATAGAATTTTTCGATTGATGACCTAGCCTAGGAGAAAAGAAATTTGGCAAAAAAAGCGTAATAATCGGAATGAAGGTGGCACCAGATGGTTGCTAAAAAGGATGGCAGAAAAAACCTCACTTTGGCGCTATAGCAGCATAAGAGGGCATCACCCAGGACTAGGCCCAGGAGAGAGCAAGACCTCCGGGAAAAATAAAACGGCTATGCACATTGGAGCCTCACCTCCTTCGCCTTGAGGCTTTTTTTATGAATTTTTTTTTTTTTATTATTAATTATTTTTTTTTTTTTTTTTTTTTTGTTTTTTTTTTTTTTTTGTTCTTTAAAAACCGTTTTTTTAAAAGATAGACGTATTCTTCGTGCGCGCTTTTGACTGCTTGCCACCGCAATGCCCCGCATTTGCGATAGCGCCCTTAACTTTTTCGAAATACTCTTAAATTTTCCACAAAACAAAACTTCATGTTGGACCAACTTTTTGAGCCACATAGAGATCCAGCCTGTCTGAAGGCGGTCTGTAATAACTACCAGACTGCCTGAAGACGGCCTATAATAAGTGAAGGAATAATTAACCTTTATGATAGCAGATATAGGAGACAAATTGATGATAATTTATTATATTTGTTTCTTCCTAGTGAGAAATAAAACAAACTAATGAGCTTGAGATCATCCTTCGTGCAATGCTTGAAATATTTACAATCTAACAATGAAGATTACTGAGGAATAGGAACGAAATCTTCGAAAACTTTTGCCTTGTTTCCTCTTGCCGACTTCCGGGTGCGTACTTTCGATGCCTATAAAAACATGATCTCATGGCTGTTCTAAATATTCTCGAAATGATACTAGTGTGGGAGATTTTTCAACAAGTTGCACTTTTCAAGAGCAAGCAACTACTTGGCAATGAATGAGATGTATAGCTGAGCAACTCTGTTTTGCACACAAGAGGAATGACAAGAGAGTGACACAGCGCAGATAAAAAACACCCATTCCGAAAAGTATGTCATTAAAAAGTGATTTGCTCAGCTCTATTTTTTTGCACAACAATCATGGTTTAGAAACTAATAAATATCAGAACAAATACTAGCATCAACTAACATCTTCCTGTTGTGAATCAGATGAAACGTGATGTTGCTTTTTCTCCACTCCAGCTTCTACGACTCGTCGTGACTGAATAAAATTAGGAATATATGTAGTGAAGGAACCGTTCTTAAAATCATGCTAGTAGGATTAGGACTGGAATTAATAAACAGAATTCCGAACACGGATACCAAAAGCAACCAACCCTCTTCGATAAAGACGCCTTCAGACCAGAGATTGTTGCTGATCGCTCCGAATTCTTCGAGTGATTCTTAAGAATACCCATGACCACTTCCTGAAAATGAGAGAATATACGCTTTCATTCAAAGCTGGTAGACTGTTGTCGAAGCGCATCAGCTGCCCTGCAACTCGTCAATCAGCACTATTCGCCACAAGTTAAGATGCGCGTGAGGTTTATGTACAGGCAGCGATTATGCTCGTTTCGGTTTCAAAAGAAAAGACACTACTTCCCAAGACAAAATAAAACACAAGACAGGGTTGGGACGCTCTCAACAGTTGAAGAATCCGCCATTTTTGGGTACCCCAGGAGGCCCGTCGCGCGGCAAGAAGGCAGAGTCGCGGACGAGTCGCAGCGCGTGAGCGATGTAGGACGTGCAATGGGACATTCTATTTAACTTGACGCGAAATCCCTACAGTACGCGCGGAACTCGTCCGCTGACTCGCCTTCTTGTCGCGCGACGGGCCTCCTGGGGTGTCCACCATTTTCGCCGCAGTCGAAGAAGATCCAGAGGCACCCGTTGAGAAGATTCCAGTGTACCCAACCAACAGTGTCCGGTCACCTCCACACCCTAGGCTACAGAAAGTGCTCACTCGATGGATAACAATTGTTTCAATCGCGTATCCATTTGTCAGTTTCTCCTTCTCTGCCCGCACCGAAACGAGTTTCTGGAAGGCTTGATTTCGGAAAATGAGGTCTAATAAGCACCGTGCCGTGTGGCTCCCTCGAGGAGAAGACCCGCCGACACAAGCAAAATCGGACCTTCACCCCAAAAGCTGTCTTCTTTGCTGCCTCTGGGATTCGTGAGGAATGTTGTATTATGAGCTGCTCCCGCAAGGACATACCGCTACCGGCAGCATTTACGCCAGTCAGCTCTAGAAACTAGCGGACGCTGTTCAAGAAAAACGACCGAGACGAACTTCTGTCCACCTACTCCACGATGACGCCAGGCCCCACATAGCTAAAGAGACCCGTGCAAAATTGGAAGAGCTGATCTGGGACGCGGTTCCCCACCCACCCTATTCCCCTGACATTCCCCCTATCATTTTTCGCCCCCTTAAGGGCATTACGATGGATTCTAGAGGGGTTAAGATGAACGGGGCGCTCAAGGTACGCCAATGGCGAAAAAAAGAGAAATCCGTCAAAAATAAGCAAAATAGTACCCCTTTGATTGCCCTTTCATTTTCGACCATGGATGAGCGACGACAAAGAAAGAAGTTGTTCGGACGTGTTAACCCCGATAGCCGCCATCATGCCAACAAGCATAGTGTTTTGATTGCATTACATGGGCAAGTTGGAAGATACAGCCGCTAAAAGGGAAATGATCTTCCAAAATGAAAAGCCAACAGCAAACAGCTCGCCCAAGTCACCAACTGAACTAGTGGGCGTAACGCTTTCGGGGCGGAGTGCTTCGGAAGTCCTGCTCAGCAACAGGCCGTGAAAGCGCCACACTTCGCTTCCTTGGCAGCCAAGTGACTGCTTCGTGTGGTGCATTTATTCTCCTGAAGTGGCCTTACTTATCGAAATAGCCCTTCAAGGCACTCCTGGCGAGAAAACAGCTACCAAATTGAAAACGTTAAAGGGGCGGTCAGCGATTTCTTCGACTCTCAGTCTACTCAGTTTTGGAGAAGAGGATCGCAGTGCCCATGAGTGGGACACTGTAGCAGTGAGCAACAATGGGAACTGCATTGTTGAGCAAGTTCCAATGTATGCAGAACAAAAAAGCAGAGCAAAAAAGTTTAAACGGCTCAGAACTTCCTAATACTTAAAACCAACTTTATCGTGATCACTGCCTCTAAAGAACGCAAGTCCTGTTAAAGTTGAGATATT